ATTTATATTTTTTTTTTTTTGGTCATGGATAAATATATAACTTCAAATAAATAAATGAACATTTTAATGTCATTTTTTCTCTCTTCAGGGAGGTTGTGCGACGTTCCTCTGCCAGCCGCTGGATGTAATAAAGACGAGATTAATGAACTCTAAAGGAGAATACAGAGTGAGTTTCCTCTCTCTTTCTGGTTATTGTCTCATTATCTTTATTGCTCATTAATCAAATGTATTTTTGTATATTAGGGTGTGATTCACTGCCTGACTGAAACTGCCAAACTGGGACCCCTAGCCTTCTACAAGGTACCAGATTTGCTTCATGTATTCATTAAACACTGAGGTCTTTTTCATTACTGATCCTTTGGAAAATGTTTCCCACCGTCCAATCACACGACAGGGTTTAGTTCCGGCCGGGATCCGCTTGATTCCTCACACGGTCCTGACCTTCGTCTTCCTGGAGCAGCTGAGGAAATACTTCGGCATCCGCGTGGTCAGCTGAACTTTGACCTCTTGACCCTTTCCCTTTGGCCTCCTCTTGAAGCTGCTCTCACTTCCACAATATTATTTCTGGAAAATCTCACATTACACAGTCATAACCAACTCCACAATGCAGCCGGACCAACATAACGAAAGATGATTCCTCACTATCCCGAGTGCCAACCCGTCATAACGCTCATCTGACAGGAGAGCGGGATCTTCTGGGAATAAATGACTGTACGCTCATCTCTTCAGGGTGAGCTTTAGATTATAGATGTTATCTATCAGGATAGATATGGGTTTTTTTTTTGTTAATGATATGATGCTTCTGATTTTATTTTATTTTTTATGCTGTTCTTAAATCCTTCTTCTTTTGCAACGTGATGAGACGTTTTAAAGAGTTCAGTCATTATATCATAACTTACTCACCTGTATGTTGTTCCAAACCTGTACAATGTTCTTTATGCTCAGCATCTGTTTTGTTTTCCTCTGAATAGTCACTCTTTCCATTTATTAACGTGTTTTGTTAGGGTGAGTGAAATTATGACAGAATTTTCATTTTCGCTGAACTGTTCCTTTAAGACACAAACAAAACGGTCCATATTGCTTTAAGGTTTTTAAACGGTTGCATTCAGTCTGTATGTATTGTGCTAAACTGTTTTAATGTACAAATTCTGTGTTTTCGACTGGTTGCTGGGTTCGATTGACACTTGACAGAAGGGTCAGGGGTCACAGAAAAGCTATGAGGGGACAGAATTATACCAAGTTTTACTTTTATAACCAAATTGTGAAGCATCACAGAAGAAAATAAAACCAGAAACAACTGACTGATGGGGACCCAGCTGTGTATCTGCAATGTGAAAGACGAGTCAAACTTCTGCACTTAGTGCTATGCTTTCAGTTTTCATTATATTCCTGTTCTTTTTGTAATATTTCTGCTGGAAAACTTACGATCGGCACGGATCTGTGACTGAAATATTGTCAGATCTACTGTAGTTTCTGCAAATGTGCATGTAGTTGTTTTAGTGTTGAGGTAATGGGGGCGTTTAGTGAAAAAGTTGCACAAAATACTTGTAGTAATTCAGTTTTGTGCTTTGGTCCCGAGAATATCCGGACTTATCCTAAACTAAGCGTATAATAACACAACAATTATCTCAAATTTACTTTAAACTTAATATTTTAGATTGCGTTGGTATATGACCATATTGGTATATGCTTAAAAAAGGGCTTTTTAAATGATTTTACACTAAGAATGAACACTGGAGAAGCCTTATCTATTGGTGTCCAGCAGAGCCGCTTGTGTGCATCGAGGGTTTGCAAGCGAGTTTATGTGGGTGCTAACAGTTTGTTTGCTTGTTTGTTTTTCTAAAAAAATTTTGTAATTTAGGGTTTGAAAATGGAGGGTTGAACTGGTTGTTGTCAATGTTGTCTCATCAGAACGGTATTTTGTCTGAAATGGAAATGTATGGAAATAAATGTACTAACACAAGAACATCCAGTGGGATTATGTGTATATTTATGATTTTGTATTCAGCTCGTACATTTACTCAAACAAATTGATATAGGTTTCCCTCCATTTAAACAATGTGGAACAAATCTAACGCAAAGTTTCTCGGGAGAACGCAAAAGCATTGACATTTTACATTAGGGCTTCCGTAGTAAACCGACAACTTTTGAATATTCATGCATGCTCCACCCAGTGGACATTTAGCTGCTTTTGAACAGGCTGCTTTTAGCTATACTTCCCATTGAAAATAGTTCCTGCGAGTCTGCAGCTGGACAGAAGCACAACTTCCGCATTCATACCAACCAGCTTTCAGTGCGTTGTCAACGCTGCATGCAGATAAAACGTGAAGAGAAGCGTAATGGAGCTGTTTTTCGCATAGGTGAGTATGATCTCTTCATGCACAGTTTACAATCACGTGACTGCCTGGCGCGGATCGAAACTTCCAGAGAACTGCAGCACCTGTCTGTCAATGTTCAATCTGTTTCAAGCCATAATGTTTAGATCACATCTAACAAGAAGAACAACAAACGTATGAGAACAAACTGCAAGTTTTGGGCGCTTGTGATCCATGTACAGCGCATGCATCAGTGATATAAGTATAGCTATACACCTGAGGCAATGATGAACATAAAAGTTCTTAATTCAAGTTTATATATTTAGATTGTGTTTTTCCAAAAAAAAAAAAACAGCATATGCTGGTTAGGTATGTTTTGACGCTGGGATGCTGGTTTAAGCTGGTGCTTTTGCTCGTTTATGCTGGTCCTTTGCTGGTTTAAGCTGGTCCTTTGCTGGTTTAAGCTGGTCCTTTGCTGGTTTAAGCTGGTCCTTTGCTGGTTTAAGCTGGTCCTTTGCTGGTTTAAGCTGGTCCTTTGCTGGTTTAAGCTGGTCCTTTGCTGGTTTAAGCTGGTCCTTTGCTGGTTTAAGCTGGTCCTTTGCTGGTTTAAGCTGGTCCTTTGCTGGTTTAAGCTGGTCCTTTGCTGGTTTAAGCTGGTCCTTTGCTGGTTTAAGCTGGTCCTTTGCTGGTTTAAGCTGGTCCTTTGCTGGTTTAAGCTGGTCCTTTGCTGGTTTAAGCTGGTCCTTTGCTGGTTTAAGCTGGTCCTTTGCTGGTTTAAGCTGGTCCTTTGCTGGTTTAAGCTGGTCCTTTGCTGGTTTAAGCTGGTCCTTTGCTGGTTTAAGCTGGTCCTTTGCTGGTTTAAGCTGGTCCTTTGCTGGTTTAAGCTGGTCCTTTGCTGGTTTAAGCTGGTCCTTTGCTGGTTTAAGCTGGTCCTTTGCTGGTTTAAGCTGGTCCTTTGCTGGTTTAAGCTGGTCCTTTGCTGGTTTAAGCTGGTCCTTTGCTGGTTTAAGCTGGTCCTTTGCTGGTTTAAGCTGGTCCTTTGCTGGTTTAAGCTGGTCCTTTGCTGGTTTAAGCTGGTCCTTTGCTGGTTTAAGCTGGTCCTTTGCTGGTTTAAGCTGGTCCTTTGCTGGTTTAAGCTGGTCCTTTGCTGGTTTAAGCTGGTCCTTTGCTGGTTTAAGCTGGTCCTTTGCTGGTTTAAGCTGGTCCTTTGCTGGTTTAAGCTGGTCCTTTGCTGGTTTAAGCTGGTCCTTTGCTGGTTTAAGCTGGTCCTTTGCTGGTTTAAGCTGGTCCTTTGCTGGTTTAAGCTGGTCCTTTGCTGGTTTAAGCTGGTCATGTGCTGGCAAAGGACCAGCATAAACGAGCAAAAGCACCAGCTTAAACCAGCATCCCAGCGTCAAAACATACCTAACCAGCATATGCTGTTTTTTTTCAACAGGGTGGCCACATACCTTAAATTATATTGAATTTTTATGTATACAATGACAAAAATTTGTAATTGAACATTTTGTGTATTATTTTACATTAATAAGGAGCGGAACAACAAGACATTCTGCATATTGTGCTGTTGATTAAGACTTGAAATAGCAGACCAGTAAACATGCAGATCCATGACTTATAAACATTTTTGATTTGAAATGTGTAAAGAAGCAGCAAGTTGTTATCTTTTAATGAACAAAATGTCTCAATTAGTAGAGAGAGAAATCCACTCACAGTCCAGTCACACACAAGATGCGGCGAGGAAGCATGTCTCATCCTCCTCAATGTGAGTAATTCATGCCAACACCCATTTGTCTATCCATCCACACATCCATAATGTCCGTCTCTCTGTCTCTCTTATCTTTAGTATCAGACCTGAATATTATGCTGTTGGGTCTGACTGGAGCAGGGAAAAGTGCATCAGGAAACACCATCCTAGGTGGAGACAGAAAAACATTAGAAGAACGTAATTATTTTACGTCTGAGACCAAAATTTGTGCACCAGCACATACAGTGGTGGACGGACAAACTATCACTGTGATCGACACTGTGGGACTCTCTGATACAGCTGTGAAGATTACAGATGTTCAGACCCAAATAGAGCAGATAATGCAGAATACACCACTCGATGTGTTTCTGCTGGTGATCAAACTGGGTGAGACAAAGGAGAAACGTGAACCTGTGAAATGGATCCAGGAGAACTTTGGAGCAAAGGTCTTAAAACGCACAATAGTGCTCTTCACTCATGGAGATGAGTTAGGTGTGTCAATAGAAGATCATCTGGGAGAATGTCAAACACTGTGGTCAGTAGTTGATCAGTGTTCAGGAGCATTTCATGTTTTTAACAACAAAGATGAAGATCGAACTCAAGTCACTGAGCTTCTGGAAAAGATTGAGTTTCTGAGGAGGACGAATGGATACAGGAGATACACTGAGCAGGACTTTAAGAAGACTCAGAAAGATCTCTGGCTCAAGAAATGTGACATCTTCATAGTAGCAATAGCATTAGGAGCAGCAGCAGTCATTTTAGCTGGAGCAGCATTAAGAGGAGGAGAAGGTGTATTAGGAGGAGCAGATGTATTAAGAGCTGCAGGAGTAGGAGAAGCAGCTACGATGATGGCTTCAGTTGCACCACGTACAGGACCAGCAGCATTACTAGGAGCAGCAGGAGGTGCAGCTCTCCTGGCAGTAGCAGCTTGTGCTGGACTGTATTTTTTGGCAAGAAAATATCTCTCTAGAGAAAATGATAAAAGTGACTAAAATACTCTAGCATCATGCTGTATATAGCATGAGTAGAACAAGCACATTTGAAATAAATACATTTATCAAGTATGTTTTTTATCTTAGTAAAATAGTGTATTATATAGTATTATATAAAATAGTGGGGAAGTCGTGGCCTAATGGTTAGAGAGTCGGACTCGTAACCCAAAGGTTGTGGGTTCGAGTCTCGTACCGGCAGGGATTGTAGGTGGGGGGAGTGAATGTACAGCGCTCTCTCCCACCTTCAATACCACGACTGAGGTGCCCTTGAGCAAGGCACCGAACCCCCAACTGCTCCCCGGGTGCCGCAGCATAAATGGCTGCCTACTGCTCCGGGTGTGTGTTCACTGCTGTGTGTGTGCACTTTGGATGGGATAAATGCAGAGCACTAATTCCGAGTATGGGTCACCATACTTGGCCACATGTCACTTTCACTTCACTTTCACTATTATACTATCCTGAACAGTGGAGAAGCCTTGTGTAACTGTGTCCAGCAGAGGGCGCTGTGCCATGCCGTGAATGTGTGCGCATGCGTGAATGCGCAGATCTGCCTGTATGACTGCACGAACATATACAGGTTTTCGTTGCTTGAACTGACTGGAATTCTGACTGCTCCCTCCGTCATGACAAAAATGGAAATATGCAAACTAAATTAAGAGCTGAAACTGGTCTGAACTGCAATTTTATCTAATCAAAGCTGTCTTTTGTTCAAAAAGAAAATTTATGGAAATAAAAGTAATCAAGGTGATTTCATGCACTAGCCTATATATTAATAATCGCATGTATAATCCATCATCCCCCATTAAGGTCAAAATAAACTAGGCTGAAACTATGCTATTTCAAGGACAGTACAGCCCTTCATTTATTTATTTTTTCCTTTTTGTTCACATAAATGCTTTTGTTTTGCCTCTTCTAATCTGAGTGAGTTATTTTTTTTTTCAATAATAAAAAAAAGGCCCAAAAGCTATAAATGAAATGTCCCTCCTTTTATGAATAGCCTATAACAAATCGTTAGAGGCATTCATCATTCAAAGCCAATCAGCTTTCAGAATCACAATAGTGCGTCATCAAACCTGTAAACACAACAGGGCTGCGTTCAGTCCCGACAAAACGTTACAAAACGTTTTTTAAACGGAAACGGTGGTGCGTTGAACACCCTGTTCTGATGAAGCAAGAGTTGCAACTATGGCAGCTGAGAAGGCCATTCTTTGTGTTCTTTTTGAAGAATTTTCGGAGCCTGATTAAATCGGTATAAATACATGTTTAATACTGCAAAATACGCTCGATGTTACAGTTCAATTGTTGCGTATACCGAGCTGCAGCGGACACATATGTAAACGACTTTACTTGGACCCATTGTGCGAGCTGTCTCTTTAACCCTTTCACTGATGAGTTTAAAATATTCTAGAGGTCCCCCCAGAGTGAGATTTTTTTAGGCGACCATTATTTTAGAACGTTTCCCCTTACTGTTTCCATGGCGACGCGTCATGCTTGTCACGTGACACTGTCTGACAGATGGATTGCTTTTATTTCATTTTTCCTTTTTTATTCAAAGTATTCATAAACTTGCTTACCATGTCATCAACTATCTGATATTCCGATTCACAAATATGTGTAAATGAGTGTGTTTTGTCGTTTAAAAACCTTTCTAAATTATCTTGATCGTGATCTGTAACGTGAGATGGGTGCCGCCATGTTTGTTCGCGCTGCAGTTCAGAGAGTCCTGTCAGTCGATTTCATTTTCATAAATACATGCAAATAAGTGGCCGGTGAACTGGGAGAAGAATAGAGTGAACTTTATGGTTACTTAGACTATGTGTATCTGATATTAATAAAACATGTGGCTAATTATATTTGAATGGATTGTTATTGCTTCCATAAACATCCGTGTGTATTTTACTAACTCTAAATGTATTGTTTTACTAATACTTATGTGTATTTAAATGTCTGAAACCTAAAATAAACATCATGTGGTTAAAAACACTGCATAGTTGTGATTATATGACAAGTGCAGCGGCGTGAATTTGGCAGTTATGTGACGTCACCGAACATTCTAAATCCCATATGTGGGACCATACCGCTCAACAGGTTAATACCGCGTGGTTTATATACATGTTGCTGCTGATTGGGCTGACATTTTTGACACATCCACCAAACAAGAGAAAACATATCTCAAACCCCGTTGCACACCGTTTCCAGGAAACATGTCGTTCAACCCGGAAACTGTAGCCAGGGGCACCGCTAGCAATTTTGGGCCCTATGAAAGAATATGAGGTTGGGCCCCCTACCGCACCCATTCTGCACCAAACATACAAGCCAACCTAGCTATCCAAAATCTTTGTCTGCAATTTAATAATACTGGCCTATTACTTTTGCTATTGCTTTTGACCAGTAGGTATCAGTATTTAGAGACCTACCCATAGCCGCGGGAACATATTTTATCTGGGGGGGGCTTGATGTTGAAGGGCGGGGCCGCAGTGGGGGATTTTAAACAAAATCCTAATATTAAACAGCCCAAACACTTATAGATGAACATACAAATTAATGAAGACAGAGTTATATGAGAACGAATATATATTTGTGCTTTTGTGATTTTAGCTCAATAATATTTTTTTTCTTTAATATTTTCATTATTTTAAGGGGATTTTACTAAATATTAACCTCTAAATTATGCACCATTTATCATCTGCAATATCAGGGTGTAACCTCTAGATGGCTGTGTAGCCCTATATAATAATTAATAATTTAATAATAATAATTGATGCATTTAACAGACGCTTTTATCCAAAGTGACTTACAGTGCATTCAGGCTATACATTTTTTACCAGTATGTGTTCCCTGGGAATTGAACCCACAACCTTTTGCGCTGCTAACACAATGCTCTACCACTGAGCCACAGGAACATATTTATAGTATATATAAATACATATAAACTGTTTGCTGCAGAGTGAGAACTCTAAAGCACGTTACTTGTATCAGGTTATTAACTGATATATTTTCAGACAACATTAAAGACTACATTAATAAAAGTTGAAATTTAAATGTTGATTTGAAGTGTCAGTAATTATTATTGTAGTCAAATCTGGACACAGAGAAAGCATTTTCTTTTTTCTTTTTTTTTTTCATTTTCAGTGGTGAAAAACGTAACCTATTGAATTGACTATCAGGTAGTGGTTGGCTAAGCAACTAGCGCTGACATTAAAGCAAAGGAAGCTCCGTGAATAAACATATACCTTTCTTTTCGAAGAACTGGGTGAGTAATTGTTGGCCCATTTTCTCTCTCTCTGCCCTCTGTAACCTCTGTTTTCGTTTTTGATGACCGGACTTACTTCTTTGTCGAACTCGAAGACATCTCTAATTTGACAGTTTACCATCTGATCTCACTCAGTGACTCTAGTGCCCCTGGTGAAGATACACTTTCAAATGTAGTCAAAATATCAATAAAATACAGCCACAAAAGATCTAAAAGGAAGTGAGACTGAACGACTGGAACATATAGTCTATGAATTTGCCATAATGGAGGAGTGTAGGATAGAGTTCATCACACAGGTGAGTAGTTAGATGAAATCTCTCCATTCATGTAATAATGTTTATAATGCTCATAGTCTGTATATAGTCTGTGTTTGGCGTTGCGTGATTTGTTTAGTTAATTTACTAGATTGGCGTCTTCGCCATTGTATTAATTATGAAGGCTATTTAAGAAATTGTTGTTTGTGTACAGGAGCATATTTATAATATTTGTAAAAATCAAACCTGCTACAATCTTTTATTAGCTCGATAAATAGCCTATTAATTTACATATCAGTCCCCAAATTTTTTGTTTGTTTTTATGCTTTTTTTTAAATTACATTTTAATCATGAAAATCACTTCTTACTTTAATCTTGAAATCATTTTACCTTATTACTTTCTTTCCTTTTTGCATTTTTTCTCATTGGCCAGATGAGGGAGCCACATCATCTGACAAATCTTTTTGTTAAGACACAATCTCATTTTTTCTTGATAAAAATCTTGTCAGAACTTTCTGAGTTCTTCAGTGTCACCTCACTTCCTGTCACCATGGAGACACGTGACTAGTCCTCTCAAGCTCTTTAAGCCTTCAGCATATGAATAACCATCTTCTCTGCCAAACAGCCAGCATGTGTTTGACTTCTACATGTGCGCGTGCAAAGATTCACAGCAATATTTAAATATATGCAGATTCCCTCATTGCAGTAAAGTAACTCCTGCATGTTCCTATCTCATCCCAAAGAAAGATTCATAAACAGTGGTTTATTGCTAGCACTGTGGCATCCTGAGCATTTTTATGTGCACCATGAGAATGTCAAAAACTACTACTGAGATTTGAGGGTTGATGTGTGTTAAAGCTCCAGAGAAGCGGATGTATTTGGATTTTCACTCAACATTTTGGTTCCCATAATCTGGACTCTCTGGAGGAGGAGAGAGGATGTGAGAACCACCCGCAGGAACATGGGTCTGACTTATGCATTATAAAACATTATAACATTCTGAGTTAAACATACAATCACATTGTATCTGTGATCAGATTTGAGAATAAGGTCTCTGATTTCATGACTACGTTGTTTATTATTGCATCTTGATAAAACATAAAAAGTGAGCAATCATTTGCACTCCATTATAATATATTATATAATACATTATAAATCCCCAAATAAGCTGAATGTTTCTGAATGAATGATTGATTGGATCACATATAATGAGATAAATTATAAGTTGCACATTTGTGAATCTTTTAGCATCGTGCTTTAGCGGTTTCCCAGCTAACAAAAGCATGTTCTAAGAACATTTTGCTAGGTAATCATTAAGTTATTTAATATTTAGTTCTCTGAAACTACAAAACATCCAGTTTTTGAAATGTTTTAGAATTGTTTGTTTTTTTCTCGGTTATGAGAATGTTAAAGTGCCCCTATTATGGATTTTTGAGAATTAGGCTACCTTTCATGCAGTGTGTAACACAGCTCTAAGTGAATGAAAACATCTTGCAAAGTTTTAAATCTGAAAGTGCATCGTGTATAAAGTTAAGAAAGAGTCGACTCTGA